ACATTATACCTATCAAAGTCTACTGTATCCTACATTCTGTAATCCATTTGAGGTTTGGTTACAAACTATTCCCCTAGACGTTTTGGGAAGTGTGGGGATTAAAGAAACACAATCACAGAATGACCTGAACATGTTGCACATAGTGGGGTCCCATTCACTCCCCTCCTTCCTGATCTGATAAGGACCTAGGATGCTTTGACATTCTGATGAGTTTTAAGACAACTAAAGATTTCTGGCAAGCTTTAAGACTGACCAACACATGCCCTTTGCATCAATTAAGAGAGGAGGTTTTGTACACATTATTATGCCACCAGAAATATGACTTTACATACAGAAAAGCCCAAGCAGAATCTCTCTGGCTGGGACTTGGCTATTCATCCCTGTGCCAAACAGAATTGTAAACTTCAAGGTTCCTTTAAAATTATGCAGTCTCCCCTAAGGAAAGTTGGAAAGGTGTCACTAGTTTCAGGGACTAAGAAGTTCAGGATATCCTAGTGCTAAAATAAAGCCTGAAGTGGTTTCCTAGAGGCTTATATCAAAGATTCTCCGAATTCTGTCTAGCTCCCTCAAGCAGAGGTACATTGAATCACCAGACAAAGCACTGCTCCAAGGCTGTAACAGCTTTCACAATGAGATGCACTGATTAGCAGGTGGAGCAGAAGACACAAAGCAGAATCCTCTGTGTATCTCACCCAGCACTGCAAATCTGAACCCAGTCCAAGTTTCTACAAAATGGTATCTAATCCTAAATCCCAGAGTAGCAATGAATTTTAAATGCTAATATTTTGCCAGCATGGAGCTGATGAAACAGGCGTGATCTTTGTATGCTTATTTTAATGAAATAGATGTTGCAATGCTCACACATAAGAGGACCTACTATTCCTATTTCTCAAAATTTTACATACAAAGAATTTTAATATATATGCATAATGCCCTCCATATCCCAATTCTAGCCAAAATACACTTGAAAAAATTCAATACATATATTTTACTCAAGTGATCTACCCCAGATAATAGAACTGAGGCCAGGAACAGTCTCATTTCCAGTTGTAAAGTGTTATTAGTGTTTCTGAACTACTGTAGATAATATATTAAGCAACATTCTAAGCAACAATTCAGTTGTAAAATTTCATCTTCAATATGTGCACAACTTGGTTTTGGATAAGAATTGCTTTGGGGGAAGCAAGGAATGTTATTAATAGGAACCTTGAGCATGGAATAGCTGCTAGGAGCAAGAGTGTCATTAGTACAACAGCATATTGAACCCTTTTGGAAAAAAAGGACTGTCTTGTCTTCCTTTGCTACAAAGAACAATTAGAAATAATGATACCAACTTTGAATAAGTTCATAGTCCTGTCCCATTGTGCTGTTTTGCATCGTTACAGGAGAGATCTGACAAATGGAAATTTTTTGCACTGCTATGCACAATACTCAAAGTGACAGGAGGCTGTTATGGAAACTAAACATGGGCAAAACATAGCTGAATAATCACCTATTTCCTTACCACTTCACTACAGTGGTAAGGAAATGAGGCAAAACTAGACTTATTATCGTGATTTTCCTAGCAACTTACAAGAAAAATTACTAACCATCACACAACTTGTAGTCACCGGAAATGCTTTGATACTGAAAGATGTGCACATTTGGGCTCCCTTTGACTTTACAAAGCCTTTCTGAACTAAAGGTGGTGTAGCCCTTGAGATGCATGGCAGATGAGAAGCAGGTGAACAGAAAACTGTATTAATAGTTTGTGGGTTTTGTTTCTAAATTTTTAGGTGGGAATAAATGCATTAGATGGAAAATGAGTTATTTCTTCATTTCAAATTCAATGTTGATATTATTTTGACTCTGTTTTCAGCAGTGAAAATGGAATATATCATCTCCAGAGGTCCCCTTCCAACATTAACTGCTCTGCAAGTCTATAATTCACTGCTTTTTAATGAATATTGATATTTTTCCCCAGGTCATTATATTTAACTCAAGTTTTTAGATTCCACATTCCATACTCAAAAGACAGGTAAAAACCAAAAGGAGAGCAACATTTTACACCTTGTGTTTCTACAGTCCATGAAATTTTCTGCTTAATTCTTGGCAAATTATTTTCTAGTCGTGCCAGTTTTCCCCCTGCCCACTACCACTGTGGTTCTGATTACCTTACCACATTTGTTTTAGGCTGTCTATTAAAACTGAGATTTTCAAGATGTGTGCCCATATTGTTAAAAGAGGACAACTTTCCTAACTTTAAGCCTCAGACTTAAATACCCAAGTTCCTGAGAAAATAGGTGGAGCTTCCAAAACCAAAGTGCCAGTACTCTAAATTAGGAACTTGTGTCTTTCTGTTAAGTAAATATAAAACACAGACTCCTAATCTTAACTAAATTTTGTACCCGAAGTTAAAATGCATGAATATCTGTCCAAGTTGCAAGTAAAAGAGTAACTTTTGAGCACCAGATGAAGAGAGATAGGAAGGTGCAAATTGATTTGAATCTTATTCTGGTTTCATCCCTAATTCAGTAGATATGCTATTGATCAACTGCACAGCAAGGGTAGCCTGCAGTCTTCTTGACATGAAGATCCACCTGGATTTTGAATTAAAAAGACCAGTTCATCCCTCCATTCCTTTTCCTTTACTCATTACCTCAGGATAAAGCATCAGCAAATAAGCTGGGTTCAGGAGAAACAACAGGAAGAACCATTCCCTCTCTACAAGAGCCTTCACAGCCAGGCTGCCCCTTCAAAACATATTTCCCAGAACAACTTTTTCTTTTCTCTTATGTAAGCTGTAGTTCTTGGGAGTCCAAATACAAGAGGTTATGTTTAGCCAGGGGGACAAAATGACACTACCCCGAAACCATCCACAGCATAGTTGGGATTCTTAGACTGAAAGCTCCAATGCTTACTGTGTGGATAAACAGAAAACGAGTATAACATTCTCCAGATCATTTTTTAATGTATCTTTAGCACATAAATAAGTGGTTCCAAGACCAGAACTGTTAGTGTGGAGACTCTAGTTCAGACCAAATACTCCTCTGGTTGTCCAACTTCTACCCACCCTATTTCCACACATAAGTACAAAGTACGAGGCTGGTCCTAAGGGTTTCAGCATCCTCCTCTCCTCAGGAGGAACAATCCAGCTGTTAGCATGTGTCAGCAACTGGAGTGCACCAACAGGCTCTGCAAACTTTGAGGGGTTCAGCCACCTCTGCTGCAGCTTTCTAACCTCAGATCAGATTGCTGTGAAAACCACTGAGAAAGCTGTGAAAGAAGTAACTGTGAGAAATCCTGTCTGTGAGGGTCTTTTCCCCTTGACTCAGGAGGTGCAGTGAGCAAATGTTTGCATGGTCATGTCATGCAGCCTGCAATGGAAAGGCAGAGCTTTGAGACACACATACCTGGATCCAATGCTCCTGTTACAGGATGAAGTTAATCACATGAGACTAGAATAAGATTTGGTGAGATGCACTTCTATTTTTAGCAGTTTTTGCCTTCTTTTAAAAATTCCATTCACTTTCACTAAGTTCCACACAACATTTTGCCATTTGTACTGCCAAAGCACTGCACATGGAACTAATTGCTTTGCAACCAGAAAGGTCAACTAAGTACTGGATTCCCAAAAGCAAGTTAATTTTATTTCTTTAAAATGTATCTCACATAATTGGAAATTTCACTTTGTAAATTTAATCTTAACAGATCTCTTATAATATATTCCTCATGAATTGATACTCTTTCTCTGAGCTGCTCCAGACATCAGACAAGCTGTTTTCATTCTTTTCGGGGTCTAATGGACTAGGAAAAGCTATGATTTAGAGTGTTCAGCTGCACTGAAATCATTAGTCTGAAGAATTTATCCATTTACACTATTACTGCTAATATTTGTACTGCAAAATTAACAGAAAAAAACCACTGTCCTTAATGCAAGCTTCTCTGCTGTTACCTTCTGTCTCTCTCAACTCTGGACACTACTGTCCTCAAACTTGCTTTGCAGAGCTGCTGTCATTTCTTACCTCATTATACTTGCTGAATGTGGCAGCACCAATATGAAAAAAAAAAACTAACAGGAACTCCCATACAAGCTACCAACAACTGCAGTAAGGAACAGAAGTCCAGACACACAGCAGCATTCCAGTGCTAGATTCTGTACAAACATAAGCTGGGGAAAGATAAATTCCACAGCCAGAATTATGAATAGACTGAAGAATTAAATTGTCCCTAGCCTACAATACAGTAAAGGCTATTCAGATATCAAATGAAGACTTTCACGAAAACATGAACTGCAAAAGAACTTCTCACCACACCTTCTCTTGTGGGAAAAGTATTCAGCAAAATTAGGAGCCAGTGAAAGCTGAACTTTAATGTAAAAAGGTTTATTAATCTAAGTGAAGTGCAAAGATTCACTCATACTCCCCTCATACAATATTTGTGTTTTAAAACAAATGGCTCAATGACAGTTTTCCTTAGAGGCACAGAATTGCATGCATCAAAATTACATGAATTAAGGGCATTGCACTGGCCAAGCTTTTCCACTATTTTTGCCATTTTGTCAGCCACGCCCTTTTGGTATACTACATCTTTAAGTGTTCGTGAAAATAACTTTTCACATAAATTCTCCTTCTGCATGTAGTGTTTGGGTGTGTGAGCTTTATACAAAAGGAAGGAAAGTGCCTCACAGAAGCATCATGTTTTGTCTCTAGGTGCAACGCTCCTGTTTTGCCATACAGCTTTCTCCTAAGACACTTAAACACATATCAGAAACTTTAAAAATTATTTCAGTCATGAATAGCTTTCACAGTATAGTCATGCTTACAAATTTTATAGAACTGGTGTGATCCGACTGCAGAATACATTTTTGATTAATCAGGTCTAAGGTTTGAATAATGAAACAGCAGGTGGGGTAACTACAAAATTAAAACTCTTAACAGCCTCAGAGTAATACAGTCATAAATATAAAAGAGTTCAAAACACCTCATTTGCTTTTTTGAAAAACATCCTCAACAACTTACTCTGCATTTCTGTTCCCAGAAGAGGGCGATGTTTCTGTCAGCTGAAAAATGCCTCGGGCTCTCGCTGCATTTCACATCTTTCAAGGGAAGGCACATCCTGTTTCACATGACAAAGGGTTACCTTTCCCTTTGGAAGTAGCCGCTGCTTTTATAGAAGCAATTTCTGGAAGGTGTAGGATATTGTTCAGAGACTGCACACCCACTTTGATCAGCTGTTAAACATCAGGTATTTCCCATTTGAGGAGAGTATCTGTAAGAAAATGGTAAAAGAGGCTTGTCATAACCTTGCCATTTGAATGATCATCTTTTGTTCTCATGAACATTTCTGAGCCAGTTACATCCTGTCAATTAGCAGCAGTTAAAAAACTGGGATATACAGAATTGTCTTTTTTTTTTTTCCCTGCAAACCTCTCCATTTATTTTAAGAATTTTAAAAAAATTAGAATTAAGTTTGCAAATCCATCCTTATTGTAATTTAGACAATTCAGGCTTAGACTGCCACTAGATTGGCATGGTATGACAGTAATTGAGGCCAATTAAATGGGGGACTCAAAAGCTATGCTAATGAGAACAAAATCAGTTTAGGTATTGCATCAAAATTTAAGATGTTTTCAAAAGATTGCCCCTTTTTTTTTTCCTAGCTAAAGGGAAGCTTCTGCTTCAAACAGTGGTTGCAGAAGCATTTTCATGTCTAAACTGCTGCATCACATATGAAGGCACTATGATTTATCCCTAGAATTTGTTCTTTTCTAATTTTTTTCATTACATATAATGCCAACCCTGAGAAAAATGCAGAGTCTAGAAAGGACTCTGTTTAATACTTCTATTTAAAAGTACCTGTTACATATATACACACACATTATATGTAAATACCTGCATCTGAGATACCGTCTCACGAACCATCTATCTTTTAATGGAAATTATTATCCAACCCCAAAATAACCTGTTCTATGGACTATTATTTATATCCATAGCAGGGTTGAATTTTACACATATGAAGTCCTATTTGCTTTCAATGAGTATTCAGGAAAATAAAGAAAAGCTTTTGTCAGTGAATTGTTTACAACACTGACTTACATAAGAATTAAAAAGCTAGAATATTAGACAGATAAGTTTCCTAAAAAAACAAGAAACATAATTTATTTGCTAAAGAAAGCTAAGCAGTAAGAGGAAAATGTATTGAAGCAGAGACAGTAAATGGATAATGGAAAAGTTAGGCAGAGTGAAGTAACACCCTGAAGAGTCATGAGATTAAAGGTAGGAAAGATTTACCACTGCTCTTCTTAAGTATTCAGAACTAGGACTGAAGTCAGCATGGATCAACTGGTTCCATGTAGCATAACACCAGAGGAAAAGGTCAGTTCTTTAGGATAGCTCAAGATCTTCCCATAATCTGACAAAGAAAAAAAAAACCCAACCCAAAATGAAAACAAAACCAAGACAAACTGAAGCAAAAAACAAACAAACAGGAAAAATCCCACAAAAACAAGAGAGGGAGTTTCAAAACACAGGGCCACAATTTCTCTCAAAAAACACAGAAGTAATACAACCAGCCCACAAACTTTCAGGACTCAAAGTTTACATGCCTTACTGTGCTTACATGCCTTGCTGTAATCCCATAAAGCTGATGATCAACGATGCATAGTTTGTCAAGGGCCTAGACAGCCCCTGTCCTGAGCAATGGAAAAGCACGGGGGCAGTTGTCATGCAGGGATGTTCCTTTTATGGTATGAAAGGGTTTATGTAATTGGTGGACGGGGAGTTTCTAAGAATTTTCTCTTAGAAGAGAAGAGGTTTAATTCTTTGCCAAGTTATCCTAAATACTCTTTAGAACTGGAGAGATTACATGTATGCTTGACCAGACCAACAGATAAAAATAGGCTCTCTCTTCTTTCAAGAGGCAGAACTCCTGCGTTGACCCTAACATCCTGCTGTAGGTAGGCATTAACTCTGTTTAAAGCACATGTCTACCATGTCCCATAAGCATCCTGGTTTGTCTGATCTCTCTTTAATCTCATTAAATTAGTAGCCATGGGATGAAATGGCAAAGTACTTCAACCTGCATCATACAAGTGCCCTGACCAGCTGCAATTGCCCTGACAAATCAGATCCAACTCTACACATCCAGAATCTTGGATATAAGGAAATACTAGTAAATTCTGTTAAAATGGGAGGAGACAAACAGGGAAGGCAGGGATAGTTAATAAAGTTTTGACTGCTTTTGTTTAATCACAGTGCTCCTACACAACATCACTGATCTAAGAATCTCTCTAAAGATGTGAGTGTACAGGTGTAGGGCCGTAGTTAACACCTGTAATACCAGTAGTGCCATTGAAGGGTGTGTATGGCCTAGACTTCATTGGAGAGCAGTATATTATGTATATATTTTCCATGCAACACATGTGGCTTCTAAAATACAGGTATTTACCTCTGTTTTTTTTTCATATACTGTGATCATAAACGTGGCTTTAAACTAATGTAAGCTAAAACTAAATTCCTACAGCAAATGTCTTCAGGTGGGACTCAGGCTTGTGAAGGAGCAGTTTGTGACTAGTGCAGCCATGCAAAAGAATCTGCTAACAGAGATGGAAAACAGAAATGTTCCCAATTTTCCCATTTCATTCATTTTTAAAGAATTAAGAAGTTACATCTGAAAGATGTAAAAGGTCCTACACAAAGAGAGGAATGTATCCAAATCACTGTCTAAGTAGGAAAGTTCATTTAATTTTGAAGAGTTCTGTTTAGTTCTAATGAGCTCTGGATGTAGAGATGGGACAAGTGACTGCCAGATGGAATTTATTTCGCACTGTCTGAACTCTTTTCCCCAGAGAGCCACAGGATTCCGACTACAATGGGACAGAATATTAAGAAATGGAAAGGGTCTCATCTATCCGTTGTATCATACTTATTCAGTGTAACTATTCTGTTTTACTTTGAGCCAAGAACAGAATCCTGAAGGGTTTTTTGCTAAAAAATATTTTAAAAGTAAAAGCAAGTGTATATTCATAGAATGACCAAGATAGGTGGTGTTTAAAGGTACAAGACAACCAAAGCCTGACTAGGAATATCCATGTAATCCATCATTCAGCCTTTATCACCTCACCCACATTCTTTCAATATTGTTGTATTCTTGGCCTGTCCAAAGACTGTGGATAACTTCAACATTATTGATTAAAAGGATAAGGTAACTGCAAGACAACAGAACGAAAACACTAACTCATTTCACAGATTATCGAGGCTGCTAACATTCTGGTTATGCAAGAGTCACTGAGAACAAATCTAAGAGGTGCCCTTGGATTTGTGTTACTGAAGAGTCTCTGAGAAGTTCACCTTTGGCAGAAAAGTCAGTCTGCTTAAGTGTTTCCTATCCTTTCTTAAAGTAACAATCAATTCTGACCTAATTTGAGAAGCTTTTGACCAGATCAGTCAGAAGGTACAAAAAGGTATAGAGAGCAGGAGAGCCATGGGGGCTTCTGATTTATACAAAAGCAGGAAGAGATATCAGAGGAGACTATACGAAATTGCAAGCAGTACTGCCAAATGTTTGCATTTTTCACAGAGGACAGCGCTCTAGTATTGAATGACAAAACTATTTTTTGAAAATAATATGGGGAATCTATTAGAGATCTGGAAATTACATTCAGACCCCCCTCAGGCCCAGCCCTGAGGCTTAATCTATACCTCTGTTGCTTCAAATGTTTAGTATCTTTCAGAAATGAATGTTTCCAAGGCCTCTGGTTTTTGTATAAAAATGGGATGTAGTTTAGAGTAAAATTTATAGTACCTCCTGTTCTATCGAATATAGTTCCTTTATATCTGGATGTGTACATCCACATGAAATACACAGAATATGTTTATGTCACTACACTTCTCAAAGACAAAATATGTCCTTCTGGCTTCTCCAGAACACACAAGGTATTTGTCAAAATTACTTAAAACACACCTCACACACAATGCTCTGGCATTTCTGTGCATACTGGCAGGTTTACATGTCCAAGTGATACCCTGGCAGTTGTAGCTGGACCACAAGCCCAGAGAAAGCAGCTATAGCATTCAAATATACTGCACTAAATGTAGTGAGTATCAGGCTCCATTTGTTCAGAGAGGCAAAGATAAATGGAATTACACATACTTCCCCATAAATAACTATTGCAGTAAGTATTCTGAATGCAACATGAGTGTAAAGATCACAAAAAGATAATTGGCTCTAGACTAACAACATTTCAATACTGAGCATCGTCAAGGCAACATTGCAGCTTTCTGGTCAGGTTCACACTTTATCCTTTGGCTCAACTAGATTTGGCACCGTGACTTGCAAAGAAGTAGGTAAGAAAAAATGTGCCTGTGACCCTGGAGACCAGTAGGTGTCATTTTGTAAGCAGAAAGGCTTCCGTGCGTATCACATTACAGATGCTCTAAAAAGTCCTCTGTATCCTGCAGCTGAATAGTCAAGCCTAATAACACATTTGACCTTTACGAATATACAAACAGGATGGCAGAAGAGATTATTTTAATCAGATCTGAATGCTTATGAGAGGGCGACATGCAATTATACGGGTTATGCAATTATTCTTTTATCTAGCATTTCAGCAGAAATCAACTTAGGAAACCAACAGAGATTCCTGTTGCAATGGCCATGAAGCACAATAGAGCTTGGATTATAATTTAAAATACACTTTATGAAACACACATAGACTTCCATTGGCTAAAACAATAACCACCTCAGACTGACTTTCAGAGATATGACAGCACATGTCCTACTTCTGTGTGTCAAACTGAACTTCACAAGCTCACTGATCTTTGCTACAGGTACAGAGTATGTGTGTAATCACTTTTGTTGCAAGATTTTTCCCCATCTCTGGACAAGGTGAGAAGCAGGAGCTCCAAAAAATGTTATAGAAAAAAGTACACATTCTCAACCTGCTGGAGTAACACAGAGAAAGCATAGAAAAACTATTTTTTTGAGCTAGTTCTACCATCATAAACCATGATCTTCTAGCCCCTCATGAAAGCCTCCATGTACATATGTTAGAAATCAGAACAGATGACTATTGGATATGCCCACGGGTGAGCTTTGTGCATGAAGGACAACACTAAAAA